TGAAAGTACAATGGTTAATGTGTTAGCTAATGTTTGTTAATGTCACATCTTTTAATCCTGATGTTGATGAGATCTTAATGTTTAAAATTCAAGGTTATAACTTCTGAGTTTAATAGGGTCATAATAAAGGGGAAAAAAAATCCCTCAGGAAAGCATGTTCACCCCCAATTAAGCTAGTGAGTCACAAGCATGTGCTTAAGCGCATAGCTGAATTTGTATTGCTAATATGGGCTGAGTTTATGGAGTTTTTTACTCGTCTGTGCATATTATGAGGTAAAGGTTTTGCACTCAAGAATTAAGATTTCGATCAGCATGACAGATTTTGGAAAACTGGACACTTTACTGCTTGATCATAGCTTACCTGCTTATGAGCATGACCATGTTCTTCCGCTGGCATGTTGAATGTACTTTTGTATAATGTTCTGGCAATAAGAAAATAATAGGCAGAAATGACAGCTAAGGGTATAATATAGAACACTAAGAAGCAAACCAGAGAGTGAGCTTCCTGCAGTATCTTCTCAGATACAGGATAGGGGGCACATGCCTCAAAAGTTACATTTTTCTCAGGATTAGTAAAAGAATACAGATCTGAAAAAACAGCTTCTGGGACAGCAAATATCATGGAGACAATCCAAACACATCCAGCTTTACAGCAGGTCTTCAGGAGCGCGTTGGAAGTCTGCAGTTCCAAGGGCTTAACGATGGCTCTGTACCTAAAAACAGCCAACATCAGAGTGTCAATAAGTGCAGTAACAATGCAAGCACTGATAACGTAAACTTCCTGAGGATAAAACCATCCCTATTCTCTCTAAACTAAGGTTGGCAGAATCATCCTGGAAATTAATAGAGATACAAGCTCTTTATAGTTAAGATTGAATTGCAGAAAATAATTGTAAGCATGTATTTAAATTCTACGAAAATGATGAATTGGCTGGCAGGACTTGCCATGGAAGCCTTCCTAAGTAAAGATGCCTTCTACTGTTTGGAATAGAATCAGTAAGGGGGTCATCTCTAACGTACTTTTATGGAGCTTCATAGAAAGGTAATTGAGGAAATTAGCTTGCAAAACTTGTAAAGGGATGAAACTGGTTGACTAGTTTATAAATACATGAAATTCAAGCATACACACTGTCCCTTTCTTCCATGTTCTTGAGATCCCAGCTGAGTGCAGTGATCTCACTCAAAGTAACGCTCAGGTATTCATTCATGTTTACAAAGTATGAGCTAACACTGTTGTTGATTCAAGCTCTGATGCTGCAGCATGTGAACTGCGTTAGACACATGAGAAAGCATCTGGGTAAATTTGTAGATGTGTGAAAAAGCGTGTGGAAAGGGGGTATGGAAAAAGGACAAACTGCCACAAAGATGAACTAAGCGCAGTAAACGACATACCATGCTCTCAAAATAGCAGGGACCCTTGTTTAAACAGACAGAAGATATCCCTCTGGGGGGGCATGAGACTAGCGTGAAAGGAAATGCAGTGAAAAAGGAGCCAGAGTGGAATAAGACTACTAGTAGAGTTGTACCGTTTTGCACCAGCTGAGGATCTGGTCTGCTCTTTCTCCTCTAGGCAAATTTAAATTAAAAGCTGCCCGCTGGAGTGTTATTTATTAAATAAATACCGTTTTACTGACCTCAAGCTTTTCTAGCATACAGGAACATGATAGTCTGGGGTTGTGCTAATGACTGATATTTTGAACTTCTTAAGTAAATTTACCATATAGTTACCCTGTGAAAATATTGAAGAGAGTGATTATATAACAGCTACTATAAGGAAACAAATACAAAAGCAAGTGTCTAGAGGATGGAGTCTGAACTGACCTCCTGCAGGAACAGGATCTTGGAGCTATAATAGCTAATCCAATAAAAACCATCAGCTTAATATTCAGTAATAGTCCAAAAAAAGCAAATAAAGCATTAAGAATTATTAGGAAAGCAATGGAGAGCAAAAGAGAGAATATTGTGCAGGTATCTATACCCCTTCTTCATGCAATTCATGAACACCATGTGCTGCTCTGGGCACCTCATCTCAAAAAAAAAAAAAAATACGAAGGAGGGAATATAATGTGAGCAGCCTGGAGAGGACGGATAGGGATCACTGTCTCTTCCGGTAGAAGAGGCAGGGCCAACAAAGGAAGCCAGATGCAAAACAACAGGAAGCAGTTCTTTATGCAACAGGCATTAGACCTGTGAAAATCATTGCTAAACAAGTTCAAGAAGAGACTGGGGAAGGATCTAGGAGAGAAATACACTGAGTTGATTAGGTAGACAAACGTCAGCTCAGGTAGTCGTCTAAAGGCTTAGGGGATAGGAGGTGTGGTGTTGTATAGTTGCTGTGTTCTTATTCTTCTCTGCATGTCTTTCTTGCCTTTAGAAATCTGCTGGAGGCTGATTTATAAACCACTGCTGGAGGCTGGATACTGGCCTAGATGGACCCGTGACCTGATCCAGTATGGCCATTCCTACCTTGGTTGTTTTTTCACTTTACAGTAGCAGCAGCATTGTTTAGGATTTAAACTCTGAATACAGGACCTATTTGTTATTACATAGAATCCATGATTGCTGGCAGATTGCTGGCGTATGAGATGAGAATCTTTTTCTTTCTCAACACTAAAATTCATTTTGGCTCTTTCTGCTTCTTCATGAGCTCATGCTAATTGGACTGAAATCTTACATTAGTATTGTTCATTCAGAAAGGAGACGCTGAAAACTGATTATTCAGCAACTCCTTCTGAAAACAGTCAGATGAGAGCTCTGATCCCGACTAACAGTGCTTTCATTGTAACCTGAGTTTAATTTCACAGCATCTGAGTTAACATTGCTCTGGAAAAGATGTAAGAACTCTAAGTACAAAGCAGACAAAATATTCAGACTGTGCCATATTAAACCTATATCACACTAAGTACTTGTCAAGCTGAAAATGAGAGTATTGCAGTAACCATCAAATTGCAAGTCTTGAAAGTTATTTGTCCCACAGTCTCATCTGTGAGATCTGTTGGCTTTTTACCCCATGTTACTCATTTTAGTTCTAAGATTTTAGAACCTGACTGAAGTGCATAAGAGTAAGAGGAAGGATTTCCACTCTCTCCAGTCATTTTGACTTTTCTGTTTTTCATCTTCATTGACTGCTTTAGTGCACCACTAGATAGCACCAATATACTGTCTTTTCCCCACCTTAAGCAATTTACCTTTTCTAGGCAACAGAGAGAAAAATCATATTGCACTTCAAACTGATAACAGGTCAGAATACTTTCAAAGAGTCTTTCTCGCTTCACTTCATTAAAAAGAACTTCTACACTTTTTACAAGAACATACATTATTAAATTAAATGGAAGAGGGGGGTTACTCTATTTCAATGCGCCATTTACCATTATGCAAAATGATAATTTCTGCTCTTTTATTAATTACTGACTTCACACCTGAGGTATTTCCTGGCAAATCGGTTGCACCAGACCCACCTGTCAGCACTGAGAACAGTCAGTGTGAACACTGATACTCCAACTGAGGTTAACTGGATAAAAGACAGCAGCTTGCACCCAATTCTTCCGAAGAGCCAGGTATCCACAACATACCGCGTTGCATCTACAGGCACACAAGTTAATAAAAGCAGTAGGTCTCCAAATGCCAGGCTGGTGATGAAGATATTTGGAACCGTCTGCATTGATTTAATCTTGAAAAAGACTTTGATGAGTATAGCATTTCCAAGGAGACCCACTGAAATGATCACAGCATATGTAACATAAATTGTGCACAGAATTTCTAATCCTGGAAAGGAGTCTTCAGTCCATTTTTCATTTGTGGTTTCATTATCAATGATTGATTTCAGTTCTGTACCATTTGTAGATGTACACGAAGTCTGATTAGATGAATGCAAGTATACTTGAGACATTTCTTTAACTGTTTCTTCTCCCCAGGCTGGACTTAAATTGATCAAAATTGGTTTAATATGTAGCTTGCAGCATATCAGCAAGGTCAATATAAAGGTACAGATTTGTGTCTGAAATTAAGATTCTTGTTGCACATTAACTACTTTCATCCCCTTCTGGTTCTCAAAACATGCTTGGGATAAATGCACATAGATCTAGTTCTGAACTGTGTGGGAGGTGGAGAATTTTTTTATTGGCTTTTCAGCTACTGGAGAAGAGAGGGAGGAGGAAAAAAGAGAAAAGGGATTTCTTTAAAGATATTAGCTGAAATGATCTTTTTTTCATAGAGCTATCTTGTGAATAAATACCATATTATAATTACTATTCTGTTAGGGTTTGCATATTACGTAGCAGATATTCCTTAATATTTTTCAAAATATTCTAAAAAGAAATCAAATGAAAACCTGAAATAGTTTTCTCTGTAATAAAGATAAATAGAGAATCTTCTCATTTAACATAAAACTCTACAATATGCCTTAATGTTAGATAAAAATATCTCAAAATATAGATAGCATTTGTTGAAAAAGCCATAGAGACAGTCTGTGCTTGTCTTTGCTCTGAGTTCTATCACAGTAATGCAGGGAGCTTTCAAAAAGCAATTTAGGATGGAAATTTATGGCCAAAATCCTGCTAGCAAACACTTACCTAAAAGTTTAGGCTTGTCCCTTGAAACCATCCCATTGACTTCAAAGCCACAACTTACGCTGAAGTTTGAACAGGTCTGTAGACAGTTGCAGTACAGAGGCCTATTATCCTGCAATAAGCCCCATATTTATTGGCTTTGAATGGTACAATTGATGAACTAAATCTTCTGAGGGAAAAATAACCTTTTGTGATGCTATCTATCTCAATCACACATTAGTGCTAGGGGTTTTCTTATCCTTAGGTTAGTCAACAGTGAAATCTGAAACTCTGCTATGTGATGAACCCATGATTAACTTTATTATAAGCCAAAGTATGAGCAATATGACTTGCTGGTTAAACGTCCCGAGATTAAAGAAGTCTCATTTCTCATTTATAAAAAATGGAAGAGGGAGGGCTGCCAAAGGACTGAGTTTTGTGCCTTGAAAATGAAGATCAGTAGCTGGAATATTTTTTCCTCCAGATTGTTCTTCAGCTGTGACTTTAGAGTGGAGAACGTAGTCTGCTCAAATCATAAAAGCCTGCTCAAATCTTATAGCCAAGTTCCTTTATCTTTACCTACATACACACACACACAAAAATCAAACTTGTTTCATTTAGTCAAAAATCCTCTTCTAAGTACTGTGCATGAAAAGCCTCGTGTACCCTCTCCCAATCCAAATCTTTGCAGGCACAGCTATGCCACAGTTATCAGATGTAGACCTACACTGTGGCCTGGTAGGAGAAGGAGTCACTGATAGAAAAAAGATGCATGGGTTAAAAATTCTGATTACATTTTTCATTAGGTTCCTTTGGAAGAGAAGTTCTTGTCACGATCAACCATAATATGTCCTTTTATACAGGCACAGTGTGTAGGTTGCTCACAGATTTAGGTGCCTTAGAGGATGCCCGATTATGTTGTCCACCCACACTGGCATAGTACTGCGCATTATATTGAATATAGAGTTCTGCAGCTGTAGCAGATTGTGACAGCTAAATGTCAGATAGTTACATAAAATGTTTGGATTTTCTGTAAAGGAGGAGTAGGGTATCACCAAACATTGGGAACTAATTGCTATCCACCGAGTGTTGAATACTCAAGCATACTGAATGAAACATCAGGTATGTGTATAGCTAAAACTGGAATTTAGCTGGAATAAACTTGTTACTTGCCTTGAATTGCAATAGAGGTTGGTTGATGCAGCAAAGTTCGGGCAGCAGCCATATATCTCACCTCCCACAGTCCCAGAGCTTTCAGACCCGTCAGAGAGATTTGGGCTACCAACATGAAATCTGAGGTTCCGTTATCCTGCCAGTTGATCATTTTGTATAACAGGATAGGGAACCCAAACTGCTCTCCCTCTCTGAACGAGATAATCCAGAGGAATGGAGACTTTTGACCTGTGGGATGCTCCCAACACTTGGTTTAGGGGGATATCTAGGTATGAAGGTAAAGGTAACATCAGATGAAAGCCGCCCAGGAGAAGGGCAAAGGTCTAAAACTTTGTTTACTCCTGATAGTTTATATGCTGTTTATTCAGACTGGACCTGAATCTAAATATCTGAACTTGAATGCTTGGTCTGACGCTTCACACCATAGAAACCTGCATTACCTGGAAACACAGATATGTTTCTACTGCTCTTGCTCTCTGATATGGCATGGTACATATTTCTAACCCAGGATTTCACATCAGGATGCAATTCTACTTATTTTTCTCTTTCTTCTAAAAGACGGTATTTTTCCCAGCTTTCTGCCTCTTTGGTGGAATCTGGCAGAGAGAAGCTCCCTCGTTTCTCACAGATTCTTCATGCAGTGCTTGTAATACTGCAAGCTTTAGCAAGCCAGCCAGGTTCTCTCTTTGTAGAGCATAAGATATTCTCTTAATCTATTGTTAGGAGGTGAAAAATATTATTTTGAAAAAGCACAGAAAATGGCACTCTAGACTCAAGGAAATCCAGGAACATGGAAGGACAGACAGTAAACAACAAATATGCAATTTGTTTATGCTGGTAGAATTTCAGTGTTTCTGTTCATCAGTTCTTGTATGTTGTTCTTAGGTTTCGTGGAGCAGATTGCCAGAATCAGGCAGGAGAAAATACACCACATTTTTAACATAGATCCCAATGGTTTTCAGTTGTGAAAATCCAGGTGAAAAGGAAGAAAATGGCATTATTATTCTAAACAGTAAACAACTCTAAGGCATTATTTTAGAACTCTTGTCTTCCAGTGTTATGAGAAAAGCAATTTGAGTAATTCTGACTATTATTTAAAGTACTGTGCCTCACAGAAAATGAATGTTCCTCCTGAACTCCATATTGCAAAAAAATACGAATAAAACACTCAGGAGTATATCATTTAGTTGTATTTTTTAATGCAAATGTGCTGTTTTAATGCAGTGTGATTGCTGTCTTAAGTCATTTCTCTGCACTGTGTAGTGTCACCCACTCAGAAAAATTTCTTTCAGAACCGTTTGCTCTGCACCAAACCAAAACATGGAGAAAACAGCCAAAATTTTAACTCCTATTAAAGAAATTAATTTGCCAAAATGGTGACTACTTTGTGTAGCACATTTTCATTATTTCAATACGCACTGGTCCCGCGGAGTTGATTGTTGTTTATACAAATATGTTAAAATGCTTAATAGCCCAGGTGGTAGGAGTACAGAATTGATACACAATAAACTACAGTTATATTAGCCAGCCTGTTCTTTTTTTAGGATTATTTTAACTCACTTTCTTAAGTCATTATTGGCATTGTTTATACATAAAACTACTTAGTTGTCTTAATTTTTCTTTTATGTCTCAAACTCATTTTCAACCATTGCTTTAACTGTCTCTCCTAGCAATTTTGCCATCTGTTTATTGCTGGCTGATACATCTTTCTGTCTCTCCACTGAGAGAACTGACATTTATGTTCTTGTGGTGCTAACAGCAGAGAGATTCTGAACAGCTTGTCTATCCTAATACATGGAGCCAGTCTTGGGATTTTGGTAGGCTCTGTGTTGCCACATCCTCTCTTTAAAAGATTAAGACCTCTTTTACAGTTGACTCGGATTGCTATCCACTTGCCCACGATGAAAACTCAAAAGAAGCCCTGACACTCAGTCGAAATGATCGCAGAGTCCTTGGATGCCTTGTGCATGCACCATCAAAGAGATATCAGTCCTAAATGCAATGCTGAAAGAATGGATCGTACATACTGATGCAGTGCATCAAATTGTGAAGAGGGTTAAGAGAATGCATCCAGCCAGGAGATGGAGACCATGCAAGCACTGTGGTAAATTGCGAGCTTCGCTGGGTGACTACTGATGGCACTAGTGCCCCAGAGCAAAGCTTTTCACGCTGCATTTCCCGGGGTGCTGGAGACAGGCATTCATCGTCATTTTAGACTGTTCATGATAGAGCAGGACACTGCAGTTGGGTTGCCACACACACATCCTTCTCACTCCTTGAGTTAGAAAACTTATTTGAAGTTCAGTAGTCTGCCTAGAACAATGTAAATCCTTCCGTTGCAGGACTAAAAATCCGGCAAAACTGAATAGCCTTTCTTTCAGGTTATCTTCTTTTGACATAAAGGTAAAGGAGGGTTTTCTCCTTCTCCCTCAGGAAGTTCTACCCTGGAGCCCTTTAACAACTCCAGGTATTAAGCTAGGGTCTGCAGCTATAACCATTATTATGTTACCTAAAATGCCTTTTTCTTGCTAGCGTTTTCTAAACTGGCTTTGCTACTGGCATAAAAATAATGGAGGTAGGAGAACATGCATTTTTGTCCTTTTTCTCTGCCAGTCCTTCCTTTTCTGTGAGCCTCTGTTATACTTAGGTCGAAACTCTAAATTTTAATTTCTTTATTCTCATTACAAGTATGCAGTATTTCTTGCTATTCCTTTCCTGGTTCTCTTGGTTCTCTCATTTTGAACACTTCACCTTTGTGCTGGGTAAAGGAATACATGCTGTAGAGACAGTCTGTCAGGGATGGGACTGTATAATTGCATTGTCTGTATAATTGCATTGGCCTCCTGAGTTGCAGTTCGAGTATCTTCTGTTTAAGTGGAAAATGCTAATAGCATGACAAATAATGGGAAGATGAGAGGACAGAGTGTGTTATAACTCAGGACAACAGTGAGAATGAATGACTGATGGTTATTTGGTGGGCTCTGTAGCTCATGTGACTGTTTCCAGTCCACTTTCTAGTATTCAGACAGGCCGCTGTTAAATCGGAAAGGTCAAAAACTGAATGCACATCCAGAGTGAGCTCTGCTGTCAGAGACAGCAGTCCATGTTTAGAGCAAATTACTCCAAAATTTAGAGCTGTTTCCAGTTCTGCTTCTGTCTTACTGCATGAACTGAAATGAGTCATTTCCATGTGCTACATCTGAGTCCCTCTCTAAACAGAGATAAGGTTATTTCCCCATCTCTTCAGGCATTCATTTTCTAGCTGCAGAGTATCAGGAAACAATGAGGAAGGTTGCATAAGGCACTGCCCTATGCTGTGTTTCTTCAGTTGTGAACACAACAGCTTGGTGTTGGTGGCTGTCA